CCTTAATGATTCTATGATTCTATGAATACGTGATATATTTTTAAAAATCAAGTCTTCTAGTACCGTGTCATGCTTACTTTGAATATAAGCTGTTGATACCGTTACTGCATGTAACAGCATGGTGCTTTCTGTATGGATCTTGTAGTCTGATGATGAATCCCACTGTTTCTTTTCATAGCAGTGGTTATACATGCAGCCTTGCTTCCTTTTGTTTCCATATGAATACAAAGGTGATGTGGTCACAGTACACTTGGTTCTGCTTTCCCTGGAAATGAGTAAATAAATTAAACTTGGCTAATGTCTTACCTGCTTCTCTCTTACCAATTTAAATCAGAGGTGGAGACCCCATTCTCCACACAAGTATGAAGAGTTCAGCTTTCTCCTCCTCTTGAAGTTGCATGTATCTCTTTCCTGAAAGTGGAGAACTCGATGCCAGCCCTATACAGTGGCAGAGACAAACTTGTTAGTGTTCAAACTTTTACTGTCCTGTGATGACCTAATTGCTCTAGCAGGTGGATGTAATTGTTGCTTGTTCTGTTCAACCCTAGCAAATTATTAGATCCTTGGCTCAGGCTGGATCGCCTATTAATACATGTAGACCCCATTAACACAGAGAAAAACATATCTCTCTAGCCTGACTGTCTTTGTTGCTGGGAATGAGTGTTCTAATTGAGAAATACCAAGTATAAAATCCCTCCTTGTACTTCTGAGGAATTTTTTTGTATAGCAGGTGTCTTCTGTTGAACTTCTTGAGGAAACCTCAAAACCATGGGAAAGAGAGGGATAGAAGGATCAAGCCTGGGAATAAATTAGGTAGTGTTGGTTGACAGTGTTGTCTGCTTTTGCATTTGTACAGTAGAAATGGTAGAAAGGGAATTAGTTAAGTATTTTAACTAACTACAGCATTCAAGTAAATCTTAATGTTGTAAGAACTGTAGAAATACTATTGACAGTTGAATGCAGAGTAGATATATGAATGTGGGAATATATGAATCGTTAATTTTACTAATCAACAGAGATACTTCTTGTATGAGACAAACATATGAAGGATTTCTTCTGAAATTCTGCTGTAATTCTGCTGTAATTTGGAACTTGAATTTTCTGTTATCATGATTTTTTTTTTTTCTTCCCTTTAGGTGCATGTGAAGGAACGCTAGCCTGTTCAACTTGTCATTTAATCTTTGAAGACCACATATTTGAGAAACTAGATGCAATTACTGATGAAGAGATGGACATGCTGGACCTGGCATATGGCCTCACAGAAACGTAAGGCAACATAACGCTTAACTACATCAAAGAATGGAAAGAAGGGTTTGCAGATGGGGCAGTCCAGTACTCTTAAAATGCCTTAGTCAGCTTTTAATGAATAGCTGGATTCTGTTACACAAATGGGACTGCCAAGTTTAAATATTGCTTATCTGAATTCATATTAAAAAGATGCCAGTACTGTTTTTGTAAACTGAAGAGTGGCACTTGCTACTACTTGCTCTTCAGAGGTGTATGATGCAGAAGTATCTCATACTGAAGGATGACCAAAAACCCAGTTCTTTCAACAAAAACTTTGCTGCTGCTGTCATGTGTGTGAGTTTTCTTGTTCTTGTTTCCCTTCCCTTCTGTTTTCTGTCTCCATTAGTCTGTAGCTAGTTAATGTATTTTATGAATGTGTCTACATTAGTATTTTAGTTTTGGTCAGATCTTCTTTTCACAGAATCACGGAAGGGTTGAGGTTGGAAGGGACCTCTTGAGGTCATGTGGTCCAACCCCCTGCTCAAGCAGGGCCACCTAGAGCCGATGCCCAGGACCATGTCCAGACAGCTTTTGAATATCTCCAAGGATGGAGACTCCACAACCTCTCTGGTATTTATGTACATTGATAAGATCCCCCTCCCAAGCCTTTTCTAGGATAAAGTGTCCCACATGGCAGTGTCCCCACTTGTCATGCTTTGACACTCATGTCAGCGTGCTCTTACAGCACACAAGCCAGAGTCCCTTTGGGTGAAATTAATCCCAAAGTGTGCTCTAGCTGCTAATGGGTATTTCAGCACATAGGATTAGATTAGTGGTAGTCTAAAGTAATCCTCTGTTCTAGATCTCCCCCACCATCACACACCTTGTAATGAGTGTCGCATCCTCATCACAGACCCATTCCTAGTGGGCTGCACTATTTGCTGGTGTACACATAGTCTGTATCATAGAACATACCCACATGAACAGTAGGCAGCTATGCCTTTCAAGATTTCAAAAGCCCTTTCCTTCATGCTTCTATGGAACTGCTTGTCAAAGTTCTTGAGAATCTTTCCAGTGATGTCAGAGGGCTTTATACCTGGCCCGTATAGCAGAGGGTTTTTGCAAAGGAGTACTCTGAATTAACTCGTTTATCTCCTTATACTTACGGGAATCCTGTACCAATCATTTCTACGTGAGGGTACACTTCTTCTCACTTCAGCCAAATCTTAACTTTTCTGGGAGGTTGTAAAGGCGAAGAAATCAAGCTATGAGCAACTTGTTTCAGATTCTTTTGTTTTATCCTTTTTCCTGTCTCCCAAAAAACGTTTGCAATCTTGAAAAAAAATCGTAAGCCTACTAAGCGGGAATTGACTTTACTCTTACCATCTACCATAATTCTCCTATGAGTTTTTAGGTTCTGGGCCAAACCAATTACCTGGTCTTCTGTGCTGATATCAACTTGTGTAATGGAGATGCACTACTATGCTCTGTCATAAGTATAAGGATAAAAGCTTTTTCTTGTCAGTGACTCTCTGCATTTGGGAAAGTTTCAGCTAGCAGCTGCCATGAAGGTTAATGTTTTTTAAAATGAGGGACTAATTAGAAAGGTTAAAACAAAATTGTTTTGAATAACTGCAGAATAGTAGAGATTATTAAAAGAAGTAAGATGGGGGACACAAACTCTGGCAAATTAAATGTTTAAAAAGAATACTGAAGAAAAAAATAGAAATAGCTTGCTAAAAATGAGAAATAGCTTGCTAAAAAGTAGAAAAATATTTTTGTTTCTACCCTATCAGAAGCGGGAAACTTGTCTGCATAAAGAGCCAATAGGTGATGTAGGAGGTGCACTTAAAATATAAAAAGATAACATAAAAGCAAAGTTTCTTTTGCATTGTTGTCTCAAGAGATGTTACAGGATGTCCATACACTGGAAGGTTTCTTTGTAGAGGGCTTCCTGGAGTTTCTGTCTCAAACTGATGTGTTATAGAAGTAGTATTACAGCAAATAAGTAAAATGAATAGTAACAAATGATAATGACTAGGTAGCATTCACCCAGGAGTTCCACAGGAATTCAATATGACACTTCTGAACTGCTGTCTGTAAGGCTTAATTAGTTGGTTTGAAACTGCTTCCACATCAAAGGAGTGGAAGGTAGCAACCCAACTTTTAAAATGAGATCATCAGAAGTGGAGAACAGTGAGTCTGATTCCATACTGGACACCTTAATCATGTGTGTACGGGCTGTTCCTTTTTTATAGTTTCTACTAAATAATGGTAAGGAAAGAATTCAACAGAGTTTTTGTAGAGGGAGGTAACAGATACAGGAGCTCTTCAAATGAGTCACCTGAGCATGAAGAAAGATCTTACAGTTCAGAGGAAAGATCTTACAGTTCGTATAGTTTACTTGGGTCCAGAAATCCTTTACAGTTGCAATGGCATAAGAGCAAAGGCCCTGTAAAGGATAAGTAATTGGTTAAAAAAAAAAAAAAAATTGTCTTTTAACAAGGTAGAGGTATTTGGCTGTCTGTTAAAAGTGCGTGATCTAAAAGTGATCGGTGCTAGGTTTAATCTAAGGAGCACATTTGTGAAAGACTTGGGAAAAGAGAATGAAGAGTCAGGTTTGTGTATAGTGCTATATTGCTCAGTGTGGTAAAATCAAAAACTGTCAGTGAAGACATGCGCAAGGATCTTGTGCCATTGAGTGATAGGAAATGGGGAAAAAAAAAAAAAACTTAAAAAGGTAAATGGAACATTGGCAATACTAGGTAGGAACAGATAGAAAAACAGAAAATACCATTATATGACAAAATGGGGATTCACCATATCTTTATACTTGTGCAACTCTGACTTCCTGTTTTGTTGGGTTTTTTTTTTTTAAAGTAGTGGAATGAGAGGAAATAAAGGGAAGGCCTATAGAAGTGGTTAAAGGTGGAATGGCTTTCATGCAGGGATTGACTAAATCATCTTTTTGGGGGGTCCAAGCTTCTTCAGCTTTAAGGGATGGGGCAATCTAGTTAAATATCTATAAAATTGTAAATGCTGTGGAAGGAGTTGTTTAGGAGAAGGTAGTTGGTTTCTCACAGTGTTACTTAGTGCTGCCTGGGTTTTTTTGTACTGCTGTGTAGCAGGCTTAAAACAAAGGGCAGTGTTATTTTACATGAAGTGAATCTATCGCCACACTGCAGAGTACATTCACAATTAGCACTGGTCTTCAGTGAAAAACAGTCAAATTAAGCCTTACAGGTAATGCTACAGATAAAGATCAGAAATCACATCTCTAATAGATCTCATTTCTAAAGCTATTCTTATGGATGCATATTCATGAGATGAAATCTTCTGGTAATGTATGTATTTATACGTACATTCCAGTAATTTGAAGTTGATGTATATAGTCATTTCCATAAAAGTACTACTTTCAGGTATAGTACTGAATTGGAAGCTTTAACAACAGTTGATCACTACATGCTTGAAAAAGTTCTGTATAGATATTAATGTAGTACCATTTTTTATAATATCTCTGCCTACGTTCCTATACTGATTAAATGGTTCACTGGTGCTACAAAACATTGCCTATCCTTGCTGACGTTTAAGTATTCTATACTTAAGTACCAGAGCATAGACATTGAATTAGAGATATCCCAGCAATAAAAGTGGCTTGTGGTGTGTGCAGAATATTGTGTTGGTATTAAATATTTTGATTTTAATTGCTCACATACAAGATCTTTTCATGCTGAATAATAGGTAGAAAAATGAAGGATTGCATCTCCTCAGGTGCCATGAGTATTTTATCCTTCTCCTTCCTATGTTTCTTGTCTTTTCACTCTTCCTTTTCTGGCTTAATGACCCAATCTTGAGTTGTTTAGTTTGAAAACATTGGGCTGTCTTCAGGCCCTGGATGGGTTAGGCTATGCTTTTTCTGAGGCTTTCATTCAGATTCATTGCCTTCGTATCTTCAGAGATGCCAAATGTCCCTTGAGGAGATCAAGTGTCATTCCCTGCACTTGACTGAACTATTAGTGAACCATTGAAAATGGAAAAGCCACCCTTATTATATATTGCCTCAGCAAGTAGGAAGTACTCAGTGTACAACTTCCCAATGTACTGAACTCTGTTACTTAATGTAAATCATTATTATTGCCACTTATATCTTTGCATTGATGCATGCAGTTCACTACTGGTCTTGATTAAGACCATGCACAAGGGTGGCTGTTTCTAGATCATAATGTGTTTGGGATGGCTGAATGTTGGAGGCATAAAGGGCTGTTAGATATATGATTGGCTAGAACTAACAACAACGTCGCATGTCCCTACAGATCACGTTTAGGCTTCCAAATCTGCTTGAAGAAATCGATGGATGGTATGACTGTTCGAGTACCAGAAGCTGTTGCCGATGCTAGACAATCAGTAGATATGAGTAAAAACTCCTAAAAGAAAATATCTCAGGGGTTTTAAAGAAGCCTAATTATTTTTATAACTTATTTTTAAATGTGTAATTAAATATGGAAACTTACATAATTGTGAGTTATTTTATATGACTATCAATATTAGATTAATGCTATTTTAATTTTCTTTATAGAACCTCCTATATTTTTACGCTTAAAATGCAATAATACTTCTTATAACTGATCATTGGATTATAAATGTTAGCAAGTGTGTTACAGATTTCATATAACATTATTCTGCCAAAACCTTTAATGACATTTTCAAATGGATCACTTCTACAAGACCTCTGAAAACCCCTGGGCATTTCTAGGTTTCAGACCTGGATATGTAAGAGAATAAAACTTGTAAGACTGCATGGGGTCTTCTTAAAGTGTTGTCATTAAAGATGGTATGCTCAGAGCTAATTCATGTTCTCAGTAAATATGATACTTCCTCAGCAAATAGTGGATTTTCAGGGTAGGGATTTTCCAAACTTTGGAATCTTAACGAGATGTGGCAAATTTTGTCTTGCAAAAATACTGTTAAAACCATGAAATCTAGGGGCTGATACAGAATGTTGGCACCTGCAGCTTAATTGCTGCAGTGCATCTCTGTTGCCCAAATCAGAAGTCAATAAACGTCAACTGTATTTACGTTTGACTAGACCACAAATATGGGGATACATTCGGCTTAGAAGAATAAAGCCTTGGAGCTGTCTAATGGGAGAGCATAACCACTAGAGGTAAATGTAAATTCTTGCTATTATCTGAAGATGGCTGAGTTGGGATTGAAGAGGGCAATGTGTGTCAACATAAAATTTATTCTGAAATCTTTATCTCTTTTTCAGTTTTAAGCTTGTTCAGGAGGCAGTCTGATGTTAGCTAGGGCATCCAGCTTGAAGAGATTCCTAGATGCTGGGCCTTGCTCTCAGGATCATTTCAATAATGGCTGATGTAAATGACCAAGTATATTTATTCCATAAAGGTGGACTAGGTTCCCAGAAGGGGTAGGGAGACCCCCATGGTGGGATAGCATGTGGACTGATGATGAAGAGCTTTCTGTTGGATCTTGTTTTAGTCCTTCTAAAGTAGACCAAAATAAAATAATGTCTTTAAGACTCTTTATTATTCTCTCCAGTTTTTGTTGCCTAAATACTTAAATGAAATGGTTGTCACTAATATAATAGTTATTACCCTTATAAGGTTATTTTAGTATTTTGGGGCATACATATTTGTTTACATTTGAATGATCTAATACATTCATTAATGCCTTATTTGAACTGGTGACAGTGACATCTAGACATCTTTTCTTGCATTATTATATTTATGGGAGAGAGGAAAATATGATATTTCTCCAGTGTCAAATATTGGGATTATTTTGAGCTTCATCGAGAGGGGAAAAAAAAAAGGTCCCTCTTTGTTATAAAAAGAAATATTTTCTAGAACTGTATTGAAAATAGATCTAGTTCAGATTCTTTGATGTCTTCTCTGAGTATCTATTTGTTTCCTGGTGTTCCCTTTGGACTTTCCCCTAAAACAAGATATGCTTAATGTGGTCTACTTAGAATGTAATCATATAGGGTTTTCGGAATACACTTCCTATCTCATCTAATTCAAAATATGACTTCAGAGTTGAAATTTCCTGGATTTTTGAAAGATGGAGAGAGCAAGTTCGGGGAGAAGGGTGGTAATAAATTGAAGAAATGTTCTGAAGGTACTGCTGTCGTGTTCGTCAACTGCTGTGACTCTAACCATAATTTAGAGGTTACCTTCCCACAATCAGGCGCTAAGGTAAATCAGTTCTCACTTTGTATTGCCTTTGTCCTGAGTTCATTTATATACAGTAATTATTATTAAATCTTGAACTTTATTTTTTACATGACACACAGCTCTTTAGCTTCCAAGAGAGGGAACTCAGGTCATAACCAGATGTACTGTGCATTCTTACATAGGAAAGAAATCTGAGGTTTCAGTATAGCTGTGGAGTTTGGGAGCAGGTGTTGGTGTTTGTTGGCTTTTGGGGTTTTCTTGTTTTTTGTTTTGGGCTTGTTTTTTTTTTTTACTTATAACACCAGGCACTTCTTGTGGGAATCTTGAAGTGCTTATCACTGTGTTAAACAAATGTGAAACGGCTCTCATGCGACAGTTTTCTTTCTAAGCCAAGGTTGTTTCATTGTGCATTTCCTGTGACAGCTTCTCATTACAAAGACTTTGACTCTTCTATAGTGTGCCTGTGGAAGGAATTATTTAGTACAGCAGGCAAAAAAGGACACTTCAAAGTTCTTTTTGAATTCTAGAGGTATCCCATATTGCATGCAAATGGAAATCTCAGAAGGCAAAGGAACTGACATGTAATCCCCAAAATGCAACACCTCAGAGATACTTGTTTCCTTATTGTCAAAATAAAGATTTGCAAATAAATCTTATTTTATACCACTTTCTCACACACCTTGTTTGTGTTGATTTTTCTTCCCTTTTTCTCCAAGTCGTTGAATGTATTTCTTGGTGTAAAATAGAACTTCACTTGAATGTGCATCATTAACTGTTTAAGTATGAATAACTGTGCAATGACACACAATTAAAGCATCAAAACTAGTTAAATATATATTTGTTTACTTCCTTGTCCAAAGAAAGATTACAGGTAACTCATTTTCTAAAGGCATTTCCTTTCTCTGTCAAAACATGGAGTCGGGGGTCTCTTCTGCCTCTCTCTCCTCAAAAATGAGGAGAAAATCTGTACTTGTTAGTGTTCGGTGTGATGTTTGAGGGGGAGGGAAGGAGGTGCCTCATACTCCAGTGTTGCTACATCTTGTTCTGGTGGGGGAAGTTTCCATCATCTGGACTGCAAGGTGTCACTCAAGGGGAGAGGAAGAGGCATGTTCTCCAGGCAGTTTGTTACTCTCAGTCAGGAAAAACTTCCAAACCTGAAGTTCACAGCTCCAAAAGATTTAAGGCAGATACGTCTAAGCTTTGTTCATATCCTCGTTGGAGGCAAGTTGAGAAGGCTGTGTCCAAAAAAGCTGTAGTGAAAATGGCGGTGCTTCCTCCACTCACTGGTCTGGGCATGGAGAAGGTTCCCTACAAAAAAAAAACTTCGTTTTGCCCTCACAGAGGACAATGTGGTACACAAAGACAGGATAGACTAAAAAATCCTCATTCTTTGAGAGGGAAAAGGAGAAGTAAATCTTGGAGAAGAGATGCTCAAGCTGAGTTGCTGAGGTATCAGTAGAAAATGTTGGAAAGGGGCTGCAGCTGCTGTAGATGACTCAGTGATTTCTCCTCAAATGATCTGAAAAGATGTGAAAGGGGAACGGGGATTTCCTGCATTGTGGGGGGGCTGTTGCCTCTGTGGGTGGCTGTGTAGATCCATGGGCTGTAGT